CCTCACCTGGACTCGTGTGAAATGCACTTCGCAGTCTGGAGCTTTCTGGTTATTTGTGCCCCAGAATATTTTTAATGGGAAGCCAAAGAACTGAGGATGCATCAGACATTGGACAAAGGAAGACCCGCGTGGAGAATGAAAGCTTAAGACGCAGTCAGTCAACCTGAACAGAGGGTTAGGTTTGGGTCTGGGAACTGACAGAGATTTGGATGGGTATTTACATTGCCCATCCCTTTTGCTATTAAACATTTTCAGCTGATTATGGAGGGGCACCGATGAGCTACAAAGTGAGTTCTCCATCCAGTGTTCCTTCAGTCCAGTGATGCTGAACATCAATGACAGAGTGGAAATTAATGGGGGAAATGGGGAAAAAAACATTCACAAAGGTTTATCTGAAGAGACTGTGATTACATGTTGGGAATATTTTTGCTCCAAGAAGCATTTCAAAAATGACCTTTGCAAGACTCTTACATCATCCATACTTGTACTAGCTCTCTATGTACTGTGTACATCTGAAGACTTTGGGCAGTGCTGACATTGTACACTATTTGGAGCAAGGACTGTAAGCTGTCATATATTTATAAGGTGCTGAACGCATTGTCAGTGCCCAGTAAATAACAGGAGCAGAGTGAAGTAGAATTTGAAGAACTAAATTATGGTGTGTGAATAAGGTCTAACAAATGGGCTACAAAGGAGCCTGAAGCAAACTTACTGTGCTTTTGCAAAGAGCACTGTGAAAACACCATTTTGGCAACTCCACCAATGCTCTTTGTAATTTTCACTTCAAGCTCAGATATTACTTACTTGAAGCTCTCCTACCAGAGCTAGAATACAAAACTGAATTGCAGCATAAACACACAGCGAACATTTAATTAACTTGGAAACACAATGTCATTTTTTCTATGTCTTATTTAGCACCACATTAAATGAAGAAATGCCTGATATCTAACCCTTGATTTGGAGAGCTTGCTTATACCCAGGGTCCATACAATTAAACTGACAACCCATAATTTTACACACAGCAGACAGAAGCCCAAGAATGAAAGAACATGAACGCTGAATTACTTCGAAAGAAAGAAATCGGCTTTTTTTAAAAAAAAAAAACACGGTCGTGAACATTGTTATTAAAAAAAAATCAGAACAACATTTTGGTGTAATGAGCAGAGCTTACTCATTCCCTTGTTTTATGCAACTTGACTTTTGGCTTTCTGCAGAACGCCGTTTAACAGAGCACATTACCAAGCTGCTAGCCACTTTTCATAGTGATGCTAAAGCAGGTAAGAGACAATAAGTGGAACTGTTGATGGTTTATATTACTCTATTATGTTAATGTTCACTAAAGTATGCCATAAGCTCTCTCATTACATGTGTATAAACCAATTCTCTGTGGTGTTATTCCTGTGTTAAATGCTATAACTACATAAATCTTGAATTAATGGAGACTTTATAGTTCCTGAAAATGAAGGGTAATTGCTATCTGTTAATGCTGTTGTTGCTATTAAAGGAGTATATATTTTCTGTAACAATGTTTATGGACCATGAGCCTCACATAGCAGCTACTGCACAGTTTGGAACATAGTGTAAAACCGTTACCAGACAAACTCCCCTCCTCTTCCCGCAACATCCCCTCCCCCCAAAAAGGTGATATACTCTCCACAGCTACCACAAACTACCCTGTAATTCTCCTAACAATGGCAGAGTCCAAATCCATGCCCTTCAGTGAACATAAGGCAGAAGTAATGGGTTTCATGTTACCGTCTCTGGGAATGCATGGTTGGCAGAGCTCTTAGTTTGTCTCAGTGGTAGAAAAGCTCAGTTTATTGTTTCATTTAAAAAAACCAAAAAACAGTTCTTAGAAAGGATGGAAAGTGGGTGCAAGAAAGTATCTTCCCCTTCGCTTCCCTGGAGAGTTCTGTGGTGAAACAGAAGCTTGAGGCAACGGTTGGTGGAAATTCGCAGCACTCTCCCTCAGAAAGTGCAAGGGGCAGATTAGTTCCTGGCTTGATTAGTATACCTACCTGAAGTCTCTGTGCTTTTAAAAACAGCAGAGTCATCATTTGAAGCACTGTCACAATCTGCCATCAGACTGCACCTCATGCAACTATAAATATCACTCTTCCGTTCTGGTTCATCTTATTTATAATTAACTGTGCTCTAACTTGATTACCCTATGCCACTGCCCTCTAGAGTACTGGATGTGACTGCATAAAAGTAAAAACTATGAAGTGTCTGCTTATAGCTACTAATACAGGGAAGAAAAATTACAAATGTTGCTCTAACATATGCATTTTTAAAATGTTGGGTGCTGTAACAACCTATATATCTATGGGCTAAATAAATAAGGGATAAGCAATAGGCAGTGGATAGAATATGGAACTGGGAGTCGGAAGACTTGAGTTTTATTCCCAGCTGATGCCACGGACTCAGTGTAATTGTGGACAATTTCTCCCCCCTCCCATTTCCCCACCAATAAAATGGGATTGCAGCTGCTACTAACCCACCTTAGTGAAGTGATTTGAGATCTATAAATGAAAAATGCTATGTAAGCGCAAAGTATTTTATTATTAAATGCTGCCCTGCATTTAATTAGCGCTCAAAGGGTATGTGTGTATGTATTATATATAAAGATGGCACAGAGAGCTTCTTGCTGAGCAAGCAGCAAGATAGGATCTCTCTGTAGCACTTTAAAATGCTAAGAAAGGTGCAGAGTCCATACCTCTTATCCCTTAGAGAGTGTGGTGTGTGGGCTAGAGCATATGTCTAGCCCTACAACTGGCTGCAGAGGGCAGGAAATGTTATTAGAGGGCATACTTTGCTAATTTTCTGAGGAGTAGAAATACTCCCCAAGTCCCCAGTGTAATCTCTCAGGCTACAATAAGGAATTCTTTGTTGAGGCCACTCAGGCCAGCTTTTTGATATCTCCTTGTTGCATCAGCCAGGGCAGGATTAAGATCTATACCCAACAGTTGTCCACTTATGTATAACATCAGATGTAAACAGAGCCTGATTCTCCATGTGCTCCATGAATTTAGTGGGAATTCCACATGAAGGGCATTTGCACTATAAGGCCCATTGGAAAGACTGAAATCCCTCCACTTCAGCCATAATGGTGCTGATACTTATGTGCTACATGCACGTGTCTTTGCGGACACAAAAGGCAACTTTACTTAATGCCAGAGACCCACTTAATGAAACTGATGTCTTGCCTCATGTCTTTACAGATCAGAGAAGAGAGATAAAAAAAGACAATTGCTCTCTCTCCCTTTTTGGTACAGAAAGTCTTTGATTAGGTAGGATTTACTAAAAGGAGGGGGTAGTTGGAACATGTATGAGACTGGATGGTCCAATTACAGATATATATGAAATGCTATAATAATGGTATGGGATGCTACAATGGTCTTTCATTTGCTGTAAAGGACAGTAAGTTACCAGCCAAACACAATGCCGCTTCCTCTAAAGGTAACCTCAGATCCCACATTCTGAAAGCTAATCAATGTTGTTCAGATTTCAATTTCTTCACTACAAGGTGAAGTCAAACCTAATCTAACAAACGTCAGTCTCAGGCTAGCTGGGTCTACCAGTGTAATTTAGATAATCATTAATAGCATAGCTGTATAATAAAACTACATGTCACTTACAACTTCATCTGAGGTTTGACTGGCAGATCTTTTAAACTGTTTTCTAAATGATTGCCTTTACTTTCTTTGATTGGGCAGTATAAGAAATGTTTTAACCCTTTGGTACCCAAGCTTTGGGGGAGTAAATTCAACCTGTTTCTCTGCCAAAAACCACCCTCTGTTGTTATTTATCCTTATGTGGAAGACAGCCTTAGAAACATATGCTGCAAAAACAAAATGTTTGCTGAAAATGTCCACTGTATGTTTCAATCAAGAGCCATGATTAAAATATTCCTCTTTGTTTAAGATTTTTTGCCAAAATGTATCTGTTGTTTCATTCAGGGAAAATTAGATATTTGAGTGGACTTTTAAAAGAATACAATGAAAAAATGAAGGACAGCAGACATTTTCCTGGTTTTAAACCCATGCCAAAAAACAAACAAACAACCCTCATAAAATTTAGTTAGCATTAGCTTTCAATGCTGCATCTTGAATTCACTTCTTCCTATGGTTACAGGCAGTTGTGCTGCCAAACAGGATATGGAACTTCAGAACTCAGCCTTTACATTTGTAATGCTGACCCAGTGGAATCTGTGCATGTTGTTGGTTCTCATGCATGGATATAAGGGACTGGCAAAACAAAGAATAGAACAGGTTTGATGAAGGCTTAACCTGAGACTAATATCTGCTAAAACAGATGGCTATGGGGACGCTGAATATTTTAAATGCTTGATGTTCAAAAGCATGTTGCAGTTGCTGCTTCCAGTAAGGGTTGTCTGTTTTCATTGCAAAGGTGATGGTCAAGCACAAGAATGAAGGTCAAGGGGATGAAACAAGAAGTCCCTGTACATATACCAAAACATATTCCTATAGCCTCTCACTGTCTAACATCTGTATCAAACAAAAAGGTCAGAAAAATCATTGCTGCGTGATAAATATGCATGCAACATGACAAAATACTCCCTGACAGTTACCTATCCTCACAGACAGTGCAGTACCAGTTGTCCATCTTCTCAACCCATTACAAAACTGACATGTTCAAAGGTTATTATAAATAAAATATTGGCTCTAGAGGAGTCATCAGGGAAGTCTTTCTCCAACACAAAAAGATAGTGCCAACACAGTGGCTTGCATCCTACTAAACCCTGGCACATTAATCAAGAAGGGGTATTGTGTTAGCAACAGAAAGCTCGGCTGCATGTCTAAGCTTAGGGCAAAGGCTGAGACTATCATCTTGTGAAGCGGATACAAGTTACTGATATTTCTAAATTTGACATGAAGGCTAAAGGAAAATATTATGTTATTGTTAGATTCATTTTTATTTTTCTCGTAGGGGAATTTCCAAGCTAGTGAAGCATATGGAAAAAGGGAATTCAGTCTTACCTTATCGTCAATATCACTCTCGCTGTCACACTGCAGATTAGAGAAAGAGAGAGAGAAAAGGCTTCATGAAATATCTGTATATAAATGAAACTCCTGCATCATCATCTACAATCTTTCAGGTGGCTGCTTAATAGATATTTCAATGAACAGAGAGTACACTTTCATTGTATGCATTTTACATTGCCAACATAAATAAAAAATGCAAAGAAATAGCAATTTCCTCTTTTTTTAATAAAAATACAATGTGCTCATAGTTGAATTAGATGTTCACACACAAAGTGGGCTTTAATCAAATGAGACAATCAGCTATGTGTTGCAATAACCACTGGATGTCACATGGATATTTCAACACAGATCTTGCCCTCTTTTCATCCAAAACTCTGGAAATGTATAGACACAGCTGTGGATGCCTCTAGTTTGATAAGCACTTTGTCATTTAACGAGGAAACTGTGAAGGTGGCAACAATTTCTAAATCAGATTAGTGGCACCTGTAATGGTAATTTAAAATATATATATAATAAATTATTTTAAATAGTGTAGCTTAAAATGAGATTGCAAACCCAAGTCGAAAAGTGTTTATTTAAGGAGTTACAGAGTGAACTCTTTTACCGTTTCTGAAAAAGGAATATTTCATTTTCATTGCACAAGTGATGGCAAGATAACTTGAGCTCTGAATGTTTAGGGGTGTATGGATTTCATTGGCCACAGGTCAGAAAGATTTACATTTGCAAGATAGAAATAAACCCACACAGAGTGGAAATGTCTAGCTGTTGTGGGGCTTCTGGTTCCACTGGAATTTTAGTTCACCATGCATGGATATTGCAGCGCACATTTGCAAACGGAGGTTAGGATGGAAATCCATGTTGTGAAACGCTTTATTGGGGCTCAACAAGCTCAGACCATGCACCACAAGTATGGAAACTGGCGGTGAGAAATTT